ACTCAATACATTTTTTTTTTTGTAACTTACAATATAAAGCAGTATGTAACAAGAGCCGTAATAATGTTCCTATTCTTTGATACCAGTATGGCTATTCCTGAGAATTTATCATAAAGAAAAATTCAAAAGATGAAAAATCATATCTATTAAAGAATTATTTATAATGGTGAGAAATTGCAAACAAATCAGTTATATAGTGTATCAGTCAGGGTACACTCTGGAAAACAGTCCTTACCAGCAGTTCAATAGTAGGAAATTAGAATGGGGAAGTGACTGCAAAGTTGTTGGGATATGAAACAGTTCAGAGATTGGTAACAGCAAGATGCCTCTCCTACACCTGATGGTGAGAGACAAAGGGAGGAAGGAGTTTGGGATACCTACAGCCTCTTTTGGAGAGAGAGAGAGAGAGAGAGAGAGAGAGAGAGAGAGAGAGAGAGAGAGAGAGACTCGGAGCTGATGATACAAAGTTAAGGGAGAGAGAGAGAGAGAGAGAGAGAAAGAGAGAATCTCCGGGCTTCTCTCTTCTGTCTTCCAGTTTCCTGTGAGTGTTTCCTATTGGCTCAATCTGACTGAGGCCAGTGGCAAAGGATGCTGGGAAGTGAAGTTTTCAGGGTCAGTTCCCTGGGGGATAGATAACCTCTCTCTTGGAAGCCCAGTCAGCTTTGGGCAGGTCAGAGAATGGATCTGAGAGCAAGCAGGCATATGTCCAGCACATCAACAGGGGCCCTAAAACCCTTCCAGAATGGAATAAGGGCTAAATAAAAATATCCAACGAAAATATAATTACTAAGTTACGACACATCTACTGAATGTGTTCCTTAACCAACGAAATTATAATGATAAAAATTGTATAGCAATATGGAAAACACATATTGAATTATACTATAATGTTATTATCTTTCTCTATTTTTTCTTTTTTATATCACTTATCACTTTCTTTAACATAAAAAACAAATCTACTTTATCATGTTTATTGTTTGTTGACTCACACGTCACTCCCTACCCCTGATATAAAGTTAGCTCTGTGAGGGGCAAAATCTTTGGGGCATTTTTGTTTCTTTTTTTAGCTTTATTCATTTAATTTGTATGTGTCAAAATACACTTTTATTTCCAAAATAGTGGGTTTGGGGGTTTTTTCTTTGTTGATGTATCTCAAGTGAACAGTGCCTGAAACATAACTGGTGCTCAGTAAATATTGTTGAATGAATAAAGTGATGTGAAGAAGGCAAAATATAACACCCATTTCATAAGGTTGTTGTAAGGGTTAAATGAGATTGGGTATGTAGGATCCCTACCACATAGTAGATACTTAGTGTACTTAGCGAAGGTTAATTTCACTTAGGTAGAAGAGAGCAGGTGGAGAAAGAAGAATTGAAAGTCCACTGATTCATCCTCTGTGCTGTATTTTCCTTATCTTTAAATTGGGAACACATTAATAATAATACCTATCTCAGAGGATTGAATCAATGGTGCTCAGCATAGGCCTTGGCACGTAATGCTCAATAATGCTGGTTTCTTTAGTGTTGGCTCATCCCTTCCTCCCGGGAGTCCCAGCCAGTCTGGAGCTGTCCGGAGTGCTGAAGACATTCTCCTTCCCTCAGGTCCTCTCTTCTTCATTTTCTCCTTCCTTTCTGGCCTGGCTCCCCAGAGCCTTAGGGTTTGAACAGATCAAATTTTCCAAGTGGCTTCTTCAGGCCCCTGCGGAGGACAGGGAGAGAATGAGCCATATATAAAACACTTCCCAGGCAGGAGTCTCTGGAAGCTGAAAGGCAGCAGGAGTGGGGACTGCACAGGTGGTGGTGGCAATGGGAGCTCCCCAGGCCAGAGTCTGTTTGAAGAGTTTGACATCGGAGGGCCCTGGTGCAAGAACCTTAGGATCCCCAAAGAGGCAGTGAACCAGCCCCAGCTGCAAAACATGGCAGGTGGGTCTTCAGGAAGCTTGCCCTGAAGGAAGGCAAGAAGGACCAGGTTGGGGGTCAGGGAGAGTTACCTTTCGCTACAGAGATTGAAGGAAAACCCTATCTTCCTTCTCTGGGTTCCTATCACCTTCCCTATTTTGGTCATTTGTCTGTTAATGCAGCTAAAGGAATCTTTATCTTTCGAGGTTATGGTAGTATGGAGTTGACTAACTCCATGAACTTGCCTCTGAGCCAAGCAATCTGTGGCTAATCCTTGGTGTCCATCTCTTTGGGTGTAAAAATATAAATGGTCTCTCCCCAGGAGACATATTAACCCATTGTGCTGGAGGTGGCATTGGCAGCCCACATATTCCTGGGGGAAGGGTTACGAGAGGGGACATGGCCAGCTTCAGAGACAAAAGTCACCTATTTCCTGATTTTTATTGACAACTAGAACATCGGAACTGAAGGATCTCTGGAGACCTAAACATCTAAACTAAGTCCTCCTTGTATAGATGGGAAAAACTGCAGCACAGAAAGAGGTGTAGACTCCAACACACAAATCAGCAGCAGAGCTGGGACTAAAGTGAGCTCCTGACCTGGCCCCAGGCTGAGCCTGCTACAGGCCGGAGCCTTCTGTGAGTCCCTGCAGCCCATCAGCAAGAGAATCCCTGGGACACTGAGCGCTGCCAGCAGGACCACAGGGCCAGGGGATCCTGCTGCTGCTTTGAAGGACTGAAGGAAAGCTCTTCTAATTTCCCCTTCCTGTGCCTCAGTTTCCCCATCTGTACTCAGAGGAGTTGGTTTAGATGTTTAGATCTTCAGGGATCCTTCAGCTCTGATTTTTCTAGGTGTTGAATAAAAAACTAATTTTGCCCTTGGCTGGGAGGTGAAAAGTCAAGCCCTGGTCCCAACTCAGCTTTAACTTTTGGTGAGACCTCAGACAAGTTGCCATTCCAACCAGAGTCAGCTTCTTCCCCTGAAAAAGAGGGTAAAAGGTCACTTCTCAGGGCCTCTGGGAGGACAGGCAAAGCAGTGGATCACAGGTGCTTTGGAAAGTGCAAATTGAGGGGAGATGTGGCTGTCATTAACAGCCGCATATGCTTATGTTCGTAACCAGGAATGATTAGCTCTCTATGAGCCTGGAACTCACCCAGCTGCTCTGAGGTGCTCATCTGGAGAGGTGGGGATGTTAGGAGACCACTTAAAGCATCACAGCAGAAGAGAAGGAAGGGTACAGAGGGCCCCTCAGAGGTTGACAGAAGAGCAGCCACCCCCAAGTCCCTGGACCTGAGCGGGGAGAAAGGTAACATCACAGGCCTGAAGGAACCACGGTCGGCCAGCCCTGCAAACTGGCTTCTTTAACAGATGAGGAGGCTGAGGCTTTGAGAGGGGCAAGGGCAGGACTGGACTGAAATTTGGACCTTAACCTCCCTGTCCAGCTCTCTTTACACTACAATGCACCTGCCTCCCCTCTAGGATCCAAAGATAGCGACAATGATGATGGTGATCACTGTCATTTAGTAAGTACCTATTTACTTCCATTTAGTGAGTACTACTTACCTACTTAGCACAACATCTCCATTGTAGATACTCTACTCATTTCAGTCCTCACTACAACTCTTCCAGATAGCTCTTCCTATCTCTACTTTACGGACAAGGAAACTGAGGCGCCGAGAAGTTAAGCGCCTTGCCCCAGGTTAGGAGCTAGTGAGTCCTAAAATCAGGATTTAATCCTCTGTGAGAGTTCAAGGTCTTTCTTATTCCTCTGCTTGGAACATAATTTCTAAAGAGCTACTCTGCACAGACCATTGCCGTTGGCTTCGGGAGGGCATCCTCTTACTCTCCTGATCTACGCTTCCAAGTACAGGCTGGTTCTAGCTGGGTCTCCCCTGGGAAGCCCACCCTGAGCCTCTTCAGGAGGACCCCATATCCTCCCACAACAATCCTGCCTACTGCCTGTACTGTAGTCAGCTCTGCTTTTGGCTGAGACCCACCTCCCTACCAGCCTGGCAGTTTCTGAAGTGTGAGATGGAACCCTTTGCCTTCCTGGGGCACCCACAGTGGAAGGCTGCTGGCTGCATAAGTGGTGCGGGAGGACTTGGCTGAGTCCTGTGGGTGAGAGAGGGGCAATGGCAGGAACGCAAAATGAGGCCAGGCAGGAGTTTCAGGGCTGTAGGATGGGCATCGAGGTCCTGAAACAGTAAAATGAAGTGGGGAATGCCCCAGTCCCAGTGTCCGAGTCAAGGAAGCCCAGTGTGGGTGACAGATGAGCTGAACAGATTTGTCCAAATCCTGTCTCTCTGCCACTCCATTCAGTTCCCCTTGGTTTCCTCATCTGTACAATGGGGATAACAAGACATTCGTCTGCCCAGGGATATAAGGGGATCAGAGATTTGACTTTGCACACACAATGTGAACCCTCTAGCCACAGATACACAATGCGGGAGCTACAGTACCCAGGCCCTGCTTATGACATAGGGCCCATAGAATCTGGCAGAGTCAAGTGCTGTGAAATGGTGCTGGGCTTGAGGTTAAGAAGCAGGGGAGGCTCAGAGGAGCACCAGGAGAACTTGGCCCACCTTGGAGGATGACTGCAGGAAGAATTCATAGTAACAGATTGTAAGAGGCAGGGTTTACTGAACGCCTAAGTACCAGGGACTGTGCTAAGTGCTTCACATTATGTCGTTTAATCATCACATTAACTTTATAAAGTAAGTTTCATCATCCACATTTTACAGAAGAGGAAAATGAGGCTTCAGAGATTGGCCTAGGGCCACTCGAATGGGAAGCAGTGAGCAGATCTGGTCAGCTCGGACTCCAGAGCCCATACGCCGAGCCATTGAGCTCCAGCCCAGGACCCTGCATAGACATCATGAGGCTGTTAACCAGTCCTGGGGAGGATGTTAGCCCCCAAATGCTGGAGTCCTCAGACATCATGGGTCCAAATCTCTCATTTTACCAATGAGGAAGCTGAAGTTCCTGGAGGAGGTATCTGCCTCAAAATCATGTAGGAAGCACTGACAGAAAATGCTAGAAAGGAAACCTTTTTCTTATTCCCCAGGACTGCAGGGGTGCTTGTACCCTGAAGGTTGGTACTGGATGCTGCCACTCAGAAAGACCTGCCTGCCCTGCCGGAGCCCATGGGGGTCTACTCTTGGCCATTCAAAAACTGTCCTTTCCCTATTTTTCCCTACCCCTTCTCTCTGTGGTGCTTTGGGGTGCCCTCCTGTGGGCTGGCTCTCTCCCTGCTCTTGCCTGGGGGGCAAGGACATTCACCTTGGGGGTACTGGGTCCCTGGGACTGTGATCCAATCTTTGCCCAGGCTCTCCCCAATGCTGCTGCCCAGCTGGCTGTGGACCGAGCCAATCAGGACTCCTCGCTGGTGCTGGGCTTGCGGCTGGCTTCCGTGGTCCTCCCCACGGGCTGTGACACCCCTCATGCCCTGACCACATTCCTGGCCCACAAGAACACAGTAGCCGCTTTTGTGGGTCCTGTCAATCCTGGTTACTGCCCAGCAGCAGCCCTGCTGGCCCAGGGCTGGGACAAGACCCTCTTCTCCTGGGCATGTGGGGCTCCAGAGGGAGGAGGTAAGCTGGTGCCCACCTTGCCTTCAGCTGCCCAAGTGCTGCTGTCCATCATGAGATACTTTGGCTGGGCTCGTGTGGCCATTGTGTCCTCTCACCAGGACATCTGGGTGGCTACGGCCCGAGAGGTAGCCATGACTCTCAGGACACACGGGCTGCCTGTGGGGCTGGTGACCTCTCTGGGACCCGGGGAGCAGGGGGCCACAGAGGTCCTGAAGCAGCTCCGCAGCGTAGACGGCCTGAAAAGTAAGTGTATGTGGTGCCTTCTTTCTACGGGCAGCCTGGACTTCATATGGTGGTTGATGGAGAGTTTCCTTGGCATTAGACACTGGTTGAGCACTTGACAATGGCCCCACATTTAACCTCCCAGCAGCCATGTGAGCTGGTCCTGCTGAGGTCTGCACTTTGCAGCTCAGATAAGGGAAGTAATATGTCCGAGTCACGCAGTTGGCATTTGGTGCAGCCAGATTTTTGAGCTCTGATTCGAATGTTAGTTGTGAAATGGGACACAAGGCTTTGTTCTTGCCTGGTACGATGAAGGAAATGAAAGAGTAGAAGTACCTGAGCCTCGGGAAAGGAGTTAGAGCCATTCTTAGTTTCACAGTGACTGGTCTCTAAGGGATGATTGTGGAGTGGAGGAACAGGTTTGTAAGCCGGCGGTTATGACAGAGAAGTCAAGACCATCCCAGGGAGCAGAAGCCTGGTGATCTGGAGGAGGCATGGGGCTGGGCCCTGGGAGATCTGAGGAGGCTTCCTGGAGGAGGCATGGAGGAATGGGGTATAGGGGAGGCAGCACCAAAAAGACACAAGAAACCTGAGAATTAATCTACCCTGGGGTTTTTTGAGCTGTGAGTCATTTGTGTCAAGAAACCAGTCTGGTGAATCAAGACTAGCATTACAAACAAGGGAAGAAAGAGAATGAATAGAAAGCAATAGAGAAGACTGGAATTGAGTGGAATAGAATGAAATAGAATCAAATAAAAGTAGTGACTATGAGAGTGCATTGCAGATAACAGGAGAGAGTCTCGTTCTGTGAAACTTCCCTTCAGTTTTGTGAAAATCAATTTTATACACTCAGCTATGAGAGCATACCAAAGTAAGACGTATTTATTACATCTTGAGTACTGGCAACGCAGTTTGAAAGCCACCGAGACTAACCACCAAGTGTTCTAGATTTGAGGGAGTTGAAGCCAGCACCAGTGAGGAGGAGTGGGTTGGGCAGTCCCTGAGCTCTGGTGGCCAGTTAGTGAGTTAGAGCAGAGTGGAGCATGAGACGTGGCTCAGGTGTGCCCACTGCCACTCAGGAATGGTGCCTCACTTCTGTGAGCCCCAGTTTTCCAGCAAGTGAAATGGGGATAATAAAACCTATCTCACAGGGTCACGAGGAGCAGATAGATGTATGTGACTGAGTGTTTTGTAAACACCTTTCAATCAAGAGTCACTGAGCGCTGTTCTGTGCCTGACCCTGGCTGGGCTAGGGAGGAAATGGCTGGGCCTCAGCAGTGAGGAGCTTGAGTTTGACAGGAGACAGATACCTATACAGGTGACAGAGGAGCCCAGAGGCTAGGGGAGTTGGTCTACTTAAAGGTGAGCAGGGCTTCACAGGGAAGGTGACATCACGGCAGGGCATGAAAATGAGAAATCGATTGCAGGTGGGAATGAGAGGGGATGCATTCTGAGCAGAGGGATCAGCTAGTGCAAAGGGACAGAGGCAGCATGTTAATGGGACTAGCAGAATGAACAGGTCACTTCTGTGTGGCTGGAGCACAGTGGAAGTGGGTAGGGGGAACCTCATCAGACTCCTTCTCCACCCTGTTTCAGGGGATTGAGTCCTAGCCACGGGAGCCAGGAGCCAGAGTGGTTACAGGTACATTTTCTGGAATCAGATTGCCAGGACCCCACTCCTGGCCCCACCTCCTACCAGCTGTGTGACTTCAGGCAAATCACTAAACCTCTCTGTGCTATAGTTTCCTCATCAATAATATGAGGCTAACAAAAGCCCCTACTTCACAGGGTTGTGAAGATGAAATGGACTATGGCAGATAAAGGGATTACAACTGCCGCTAGTGCAGTGAGCCCTGTTTACAATCAGTAGAGGCTTTTACCCTACTTCACAGGGTTGTGAAGATGAAATGGACTACGGCAGATAAAGGGATTACAACAATGCCGCTAGTGCAGTGAGCCCTGTTTACAATCAGGAGAGACTTTTTCCCTTTAATTGACCCACGTGTGCAGATCAGCGCTCCCTTGTGGCCAAGTGCAGAACACGGTTCTGACTTCTGAAAGAAGGGAGATTTGGTGAGAAGTTGAACAGAAACCTGGCAGAGACGGGGTAAAGGAAGCCCTGGTTCTGTTTCCCCCCAGTCCTGTGGAGCTCTCTTCGAGGGCCCTCCCATTATTCTGGGGGCAAGAGCAGGTGGCTCCTGCCCATGGCTTATATAGCATGGCCACCCAGGGGCTCAGCAGAGGCAGGGGCTCCAGGTTCTTACTTCTACATGCCCCTCGGCCTTCCTTGGTTGCTCCATGTTCCTGCATTTTCTGGAGAAAGAGATTGCAGTAGGAACGTGGGCCACATCCAAAGAAAGTGGTGGCCCTTTTTTGGTGGGCGTTGCAGCCCTGGTCAGGTACCTAAGATGCAGAGAACCTTTACTTTGGGCAGATATGTGGGACCCTTACCTTGGGCAGGGCTCCCTTCTGTCCTTGGTGCCTGGGGGTGAAATTGGCTGCCTTATTACCTAGGGCTGATTTCTTTTACTATGGTAAAGGGGAATGCATTCGTGTCTGCTTAGACCTTGAGGGTGCCACCCAGGGCCACAGTCGGGATGACAAACTGATGGTACATGAATAAACAAAATGTAGTCTATCCATAGAGTGGAATATTGAGCAGCCATAAGAGTGAATGAAATACTGATTCATGCTACAGCGTGGATGAACCCGGAGAACATTATGTTAGTGAAAGAAGAAAACAGCCACAAAGGACCACATACTGTATGATCCCACTTATGTGAAATGTCCAGATTAGGCGAATCGATAGAGATAGAAAGTAGATGAGTGGCTTACTGGGGTTAGGGGGAAGGAGTAATGGGGAGTGGCTGCTAATGGGTACAAAGTTGCTTTTTGGGATGATGAAAATGTTCCAGAATTAAATAGTAGTGATGGTTACACAACCGTGTATATACGCTGAGTTGTACACTTTTAAAGGCTGTATTTGATGGTATATGAATTATCTCAATTTTTTAAAAGGCTTAAAAAAGCAGATGACAGCCTGGGAGCCAGCCTACCCAGGTTTAGATCTGGCCCTGCCAACAAGGGGGTTATATACCTGGGGTAACTCCTTAACTTCCTATGCCTTGGTTTCCTCCTCTGAAAGTAGAGATAATGATAAATATACTTCTCAGTACTGTTATAATATCCAATGACTATTTGTAAAAGTACTTTAGGATAACACAGAGCAAGCTGTCAATAAATATTAACAATTGTCAGAGTCAGCAGGGCAGAGAGAGGGTGGGAAGTTAGTCAAAATGATTGGGCGTGCAGGCTGAAAGGGACATATTAATACAAATCTATCTTCAGTCGAGGGGGATCTTTTTTGCACCAGGCCAAGCCCAGATTTGGTGGCGTTGGCTGTTATCGTTGCAGAGGGAACAGATAAAGGGGATAGTCCTCTTTTCCCCAGACTGATAGGGAGGGGTCTGGGCAGTGGCTGCATAGGAGTAGGGAATGAACCTAAGAGTTCTGAGCGCTCTCCAGGCCAGAGACTTCTGGGTTTCAGAGAAGGCCTGTGAAGGTGAGCCTGTCACCTCTGTCCGCAGTCGTGGTGCTGTGCATGCACTCGGCGCTCCTGGGTGGCTCCGAGCAGACGGCCCTGCTGAGGCGAGTGTGGGCCCAGGGCCTGGCAGATGGAAGGCTGGTCTTCTTGCCCTATGACACCATGCTCTTCTCCCTGCCCTACCGCAACCGCTCCTACCCCGCCCTCGGCCACATGGGGCCCCTGAGAGAAGTCTATGATGCAGTGCTCACCGTCAGCCTGGAGTCTAGTCCCATGGATAAGGCCTTCGAAGCTGCTGGGGCCAATGAAAATGTGGCAGTCCACCTGGAGACACAGCAGGTAGGTCGGTGCAGGCCCTGAGAGCAGGGCTATGGGCTGGTGTGCTCCTCACCCACTCCAGGTCTTCCTGGGCTTGGCCAGCTGCCAACTAGTCCTATCTCCACTGTGGGCATGTGATCCATCCCTTATTTGACAAAGTGACTCTCTACCTAGTCCCTGGTGTGCTCTCTCTCTTTTGCTCTCATAGGAGTGTGTGTGTGTGTGTGTGTGTGTGTGTGTGTGTGTGTGTGTGTGTCTGTCTTCTTTTTTGTTTTCACTCTTTTGGCTTGCTTGATCAATTCTCCTCTTGTGTCTGTTTTGCTTCCCGTTTTCTGTCACTGACTCAATTCCTCTAATTCTGATTTCTGGCTTAGCTGCTCTTTCTCTTGCAGCCATTCTTCCTTTCCTTTATCTATATCTCTCTAGCAAATTGTGAAGATCAGAAAGAGAGAGTGTCAGGGATGTGAGAGAGCAGGAAAGTTTGGGATGTCACTGCTGTGAATCTGAAGAGTGTTGGGTGTGGGGTGCAGCTGCCCACTCAGTTTTGGCTTATAGAATTCAGCTGCTCGAGTGTCCCTGGGATAGCTGCTTCTTGGTGATAAGAAGATAATGGTGTCTGGAGGTGGTAACAGGGATGCAGAGGCTGACGGAGGGTCATTCAACCCATCAGTCATCTGACAAATGCGAACTGAGTTCTTCTCATGTGACACTGTTCCAAGCATCAAAGACACAATAATGGACAAGACAGATCTGGCCTTTGAGGAGCTTCTGTTCTGTTAAGGCGAGACAGACAGTAGCCAAACAACCCAGTAACCCAATTCATAGAGTGATAACATCATCAAGAAAATAAAACAGGATAAAGTGGCAGAGAGTGGCTAGGATGGAGTAGTGGGCAACAACAGTTAGGACAGGAAGGGAAGCCCACTGTAGAAGGTAGCACTTGAGCCAAGTGTTGAGTGATAAGGAGGCAGCCAGGTGAAGATCTGGGTGAAGAGCAACCAGGCCGGGGAAATAGCAAGCACAAAGGTCCTGAGGCAGCATGAACTCCAACGGCTAGAGGAGCAGGCAGAGGGGAGTGTAGGATGGCTAGATTGTCATGAGGAATGAGGAAAAGGATCTGAGATGAGCGTAGGGCCTGACCATGTGGGGCATTGTAGGCCAGGTTAATAAGTCTGAACTTATAAGTGAAATGGGAAACCATCCGTGGGTTTTAAGTAAGAAAAGGTTTGACTTATGTTAAAAGAAAAATCACTTCCGTTGCTTTATGGGGAATGGCCTGAGAGGGCAGGAAGCAAGTTGGCCCTTAGGAAGCTCCTATGTGGCTCAGGTGAGCAGAGAGAGGGCTCGGACCCAGGTGAAGGAGTAAAGGGGGTGAGAGGTCAATTGGGCTGGGAATAAATTTTGAAAAAGCCAAAGAGACTTGGTGAACTAGAAGAGAGAGATGAGTCAAGAATCAAGCCAAGGCTTGAGAGGCATTGTGGTTCTATTTCCTAGAATATGGGAAGCGGGGGGTGGGTTGGTGTGGTAGAGTCAGGTTAAAACTTGCAGAACCAGGAGTTCTGTTTTGGACATATTAGGTAAGTTTGAGATGCCTGTGAGACAACAGAGTCAGTGGTTGTGGTGGCCATGGAGACTGTGAGGCTGCTTAGTGGGGACAGAGGTAACAGTGGGACCAAAGAGAGGAGTGTGTTGGTTGGGGGCCATTAAGGAGATGATAATTCAAACAATTGCTGCTGGCAGGAGGGCCAGGACTCAGAGATGTCTGGGAGCCTGTGCCATGGGGTTATGAGGTTGAAGGACCTTCTCTTCCACAGGTGTCCCCACTTTTTGGAACCATCTATGATGCTGTTGTCCTGCTGGCCCATGCCCTGAACCACTCTGAGAACCATGGGGCAGGGCTCTTGGGGGCCCACTTAGGGGACCACATAGGGGCTCTGGACGTAGCTGGCTTTAGCCAGAGGATCCGGACGGATGAGAAGGGCAGGAGGCTGGCTCAGTACGTCATTTTGGACACAGATGGTCAAGAAAGCCAACTGGTCCCCACCCACATCTTAGACACTGACACATGGCAAGTGCAGCCCCTGGGCAGGGCCATACACTTTCCAGGAGGGGCCCCTCCAGCACGTGACTCCAGCTGCTGGTTTGACTCCAATACGCTGTGCATGAGAGGTAATTCATCATCCATCCATACATACATCCACCCATCCATCTGTCCATCTGACCATCCATCCATCCATCTATCCATCCATCCATTTATCCATCTATCCATCCATCATTCATTCATAAGGCTTTCCATGTGGACAGTCATATGAGAAGTGGGAATGGGTGCAAAGAAAAGGCTTGACTCTCTATTGAGAAGACTGAACTAAGAGTTGTAAAATGCCAGGGAAGGCTAGCAAGGCCTCCTCTCAGCTGAGCAGGGCTAAAACATTCACAGAGCACATGGTCCTAAGCAGCCACTTTTCATCCAACTCCTGGCTTGAGGGCTGGTGCTGATTTAGATTCAGAATTAGGAAGCCTCTTCTAACAGTCAAAGTGAATGACAATAAAGCTGACTGCCAAAACAGGTAGTGAGTGGCCCATTGTAAAGGGCATGCAAGAAGTAGGATAATAATTGACAGGGATACACAACTTTTATCCAGCATCTGCCATGTCCAGGCCCTGTATTAGGTGCCAGAGACACAAAGATATATAAGACGCAGGTCCCGCTGTCCAGCTGCTCTCAGTCTAGCGGGAAAAGACCTGACATCCGGCAGATAAAAGGCCATACTGTGACCAAGACTGTAATGGGATCTGAGCAGGGTCCATGAGGTCCAAAAGCAGGGAGCTTGAGGTGAGAACCGAGACAATAATACTGGAAATCAATATCTGTGCCTGATGATCTGTCCGCAGATAGGATTTTCTCTGTCAAGGGCCATTCTGAGCCTTATCCCTGGGGAGGGAGCTGGGCAGGGATCATGTCCCTATTTCTCAGAGGAGTACTGAAGAATACATACAGGAGCTGAGTGAAGGGGCCGTATTCCTTGTGCAGTTGTGACTGTCGGGACTCATATCTGCCCAGCTTCCCCCACAGGTACGGAGCCGGAGCCCCCAGGCAGCCTCCTTGCTCTGGCCCTGGCTTGTGTCCTGGTGCTGACCGGCGGGGCTCTCATTTGCCTCATCAGGTGAGAATCTGTGTACTCGCCTCATTTTGCTCCTCTGTGTCCTTGCCCCACAGGGTCTCTCTCCTGTGTGCACAGCCCTGGCAATCTGCAGGGGGCTTTTCCATCCTCTATCCCAAGACCTCAAGAGTGTCCCATAGTTTTGTCCATCTGAGAACCTTGGTCAGGCTCTGTGAAGGCTGGGTGCCTCTTGGAAGGCTCATTTGAAACTTGGAGAAGAAGCCTGGGACTTGGACAAGACCTGGTCCTCCCTGAGCTACAGGCCACGCATCTATACCATGAGGGCTTGGCCAGGATGACCCCCAGGGACTTTCAGCTTTGAAAACAATTCTTCCTGGATTTGAAGTCCTCTGTGTTCCCTGAGCCTCAGCCACATCTAGGAGGGGCACCTCTCTACTCTCAGCCCTCACCCCAGGCTCTTGCCATCCCATGAGGCCTCTAGGTGTGGGAACAATGAGGCCAGGACCAGTAGGTGCATCAGGCTAACAGTCCAGCTCTGAGCCAAGGCTGAGGGACTTTGTGGAGTGCACTGCTTGGTGGTGCCCTCTCAGCCCAGCTGGGACTGCTGGGGAAATAGGAAAGGAAAAAGGGAGAGGATAGGGGAGAGCTCTGGATTTGAGGCAGGTCCAAGGGGCCAGACCTAGGGGAGAGTGATGTTCATGCCATCTCTTTTGCCCTGAACTTTCTCTCACTTGCAGATTGGGCATCCAGCAGCTGCGGCTGGCGAGGGCACCCCACAGGATCCTGCTGACAGCCCAGGAGCTCACTTTCATCCATCGGGCCCTAAGCAGACAAGTAGGTGGGGCAGGTGCTGGGCTAGGTGGGCAGGCGGTGGACCAAGGCTCTTGACCATGTCTGCCCCCTCCAGAGGCTGCATGTGGACAGTGCAAGTGAATCAAGAAGTGCGACGGATGGTGGAAGCCTGAGGTCAGTGTCCCAGGGGTCAGCAAGAAGCCTGCCAGCACCCCAGGGGCCTACCAATGTGGCTCTCTACCAGGTGAGGGCCTCCGCCACTACTATGCCCAGGTCTGGAGAGCTGTAGTCGGTTTGGGAGAAGCCAAGGGAGCCCACAATCTCTCGGGCCTCTGCATGCCCCACTTCTGTTACAGAATGGGAAATCGAGGCCCAAAGATGGCCAGTGTCTTTCTTGGGTCCCAAAGCAAATTGGTGTCAGGACTAGAAGTGGGAAGCAGGACTCCCAGCTCCTAGTCTGGCATGGTTCATGATCTGACCTTGGGAAAAAATCAGGGCCTGGACACATGCACCTGGCCACTGCCAGCAGTGGGTCCACCTCAGGGCCTATCTCAGCACATGGTCCAGCCTAGGTCACCCTCCTGCCTGCTTTGGTGAAGGACAGTGAGATCCTGGGTCCCTGAGGCCCTGACATGTGGGGGCAGCACCAACCCCAGAACTGCCTCCTGGCAGAGCCTGGGCCACCAGCTGAGAGGGAGGCTGGAAGATCAGAGGTTAGACAGGCAAAATTCTAAAGTTGCTGAGAACACTGCTATTCCCCAGGTGCTGTGTTCTCAAATGCAGCAACTCACTGATGTTCCATTTCTTCTATTCCGTGACTCATGCTTGACGAGCTGAACTAATTGTTTCTACAGGAAATAACATGAAGCTCTTGCTCCTTCTTTTCTACCTTCTCCTCTGGGGAATTCCGGTTTTTTGTTTTTTGTTTTTTGTGTTTTTTTTTCTTTTCTACTGAAAGGAGGCTTTAATGATGTGCAAAGCATGTTTTATCTGCTCCTTTGAGTTAGCTGACAGGCTGCTGCTGAGGTTGAGGAGGCAGAAATACACCATTGAGAGGAGAGATGGGCCTGAGCTCACTCTGGGCCTGAGACCTCCACCTCTCCCATCCTCCTCTGTCCTCCCCTAGAGTCCCTGAGCCACAGAACCCCCCTCACCTACAGGGTTTGGTGTATCGTTAGGAGCCTGAGGCCTGCAGAGTAAAGTTGACCTTGAGGCCCGGAGCGAACACTTTTATATTCCCCACCTCATTTGCTCCCGTAGTGTGGGTGGGGGTATATCATTTTCACTTTACAGAACTGGAATATGAGGCTTAGAGAACTGAAGTCACGAGCCCACGGTCACAGAGCTAGAAAGTGGTGGAGTTAGGACTGGAACTCAGGTCTGTTAGCCAAAGCTGGGCCCTTGGCCCTGCCCAGGCTATAGTAAAGTTCAACTTTTGTTTCTGCTGGCTAGGCTCTGCCAGCCTTGGAGCACAAAAAAAGAACATGTTTGTGGGGAAGAAGCTGAGGCTGAGAGAGGCTGAGGGATTTGCCCGAAGTCACACAGCTGGGGACGAGCAGTGGATGAACTCTTGTTCTGCCTTGAACAGGGAGAGTGCGTATGGCTGAAGAAGTTTGAAGCTGGCACAGCCCCTGAGCTGCGGCCAAACTGCCTCAGCCTCCTGAGAAAGGTAGGACTGCAGAGGGCCTGGAAGGTGGGCTGGGAGCGGGTGCTGTCAGGAGACCCCCACTGGTCTGGATAGGTTCCTACTCAATGTGGAAGCGTCTAGCTTTAGAAAGGAAGTCCTTCCTGTCATCATGGTTGCTTCCCCACTGTCACGCCTTGATCGCAGTCATACACCATCACTGTCACTATCGCACACCAGCATACCTAAAGTCATGTCACCACCCCAACAGATTCATTGCCGTAACCACCAGAGGCACAGTCTCCCCCACCAGTATCACCACATGCATAATTAATACCTCCATGCCTCCACCCATTTACCTACTTAGTCACTATTCATCGAGCACCACTTGTGTGCCAGGCCATGTTCTGGGTTTGGGAGAGACAGCTGTAAAGAGGAGAGACACGGTTCCTTTTCCTGGGGGGCTTCAGTCACTTGTCATCTCTAATATCATAAACCCATTCATCCCCGAGATTGTCACCATCCTGAGAGGCACTGTGGAGTGGAGTACAGAGCACAGGGTTTGCGTCAGAAAGGTCCCAGATGAAATTATGCCTCCATAGGGCACGTAGCTTTCCTGTAAAATGGAGCTAATGAAACCACGCAGGGAGATTCTGAGGATTGGAGACAGTATACAAAATAACCTAGCACTGCCCTTGGAAAGTAGCGTGCCTTTGATAAATGATGAATTGCATTATTATTTCCAATGTCGCCACTTTCTGAAGTCAGGTTGGTAGAGATTCAGTGACTGGAATTTAGGCTAGACATTTCCCAGTGGGCGTCTTACAACCAACGCGTGTAGACGTTTCTTAAAAGAAAAGGCCCTACATGTGATCAAACAAGTTTGGAAATTGCTTAGGTTAGCAATAGAACTTCTCAGACCTTTCGATATGCTCTTCTGCTTCTCTATGACTGTGTAACAACTTACCCCAAAATGTAGTGTCTTAAAGCAACAACTCTCAATACTCTCCCAAATGATTTTATGATATCTTACAATTTTGAAGGTAGGAAATTTGCGCAGGGCTCGGCTGGGCAATTTTTCAGTTCCACTTGGCATTGGCAGGGATCACTCAGTGTATTCAGCTTATAAATAGGCTGTCAGAGGTTGGCAAACTATGGCCCACGTGCCATATCAGGCTCACTGCCTATTTTCATAAAGTTTTATTAGAACACAACCATGCTCATTTGTTCATGTTTTGTCTCTGCTACTTTTGCCCTACAACAGCAGAGGTGGGTATTTGTGACAAAGACTGTATGACCCACAAATTTTTACCATCTGAACTTTTACAGAAAAATTTGCTGACCCCCGGTCCAAAGGGCCTCCGTTGCTTCACTCTCATGCTCAGGGCTTTGGCAGGGCAGTTGGAAGAGGGGGCTCCGCTGGACCTGTCTCCCCACTCTGTGCAGTCTCAGGGCTTCTTCATGTCATCTCTCCAGTGTGGTGACTCTGGGTAGGGAGACTTCTTATGGCCATTCAGGGCTCCAACAGAGAGGACAACAAGAGACAGAAAATAGAAGCTGCCAGTCTTCTAAACCTAGACCAGAAACTCACATTTCTACCATGTTCTATTGGTCACAGTGTCACAGAGCATGCTCAGATTCAAAGGGAGGGAACAGAGTCCCCACCTCTTGATAAGAGTGCCAAAGGATTTGAGGCCATTCTTACCTCACCACATATGTTAATATGCGTGTGACTCTCTATGCATGAGGATAACTAGGTCTTCCCCTCTCAGATGACCCCCAAACGTTTTTGTGAGGTTCCATCTTTCCTGCTTGGGCAAATGCTGGCATCGCTCATTGGGTTCGAGTTCTCTGACCTGTTGGTCAGCCATCAGGGATGCTGCTTTCTGCTTGGACATGATCCCTCCTGCACCTTTTCTTTTCCTCATCTGTCCCTGAGTCTTGGAGAAAGAATTGACAGTTTCCAGGTCCATGGTGCCACTTAGGTTGGGAAACAGGCTTAGATCCCTATACTGTGAAATTGCTTACAGCTCATTCACTTATTCATCCATGCTGCTTCCACTCACCCATTCATCCATCCTTCCATCTGCCCACTCATCTGCTCATCCATCCATCCAGCCACCTACCCATCCATCCATCCATCCATCCATCCATCCATCCATCCATCCATCCATGCATCCATCCATTATTTCCGATGCCTCTCTGTGCTCAGCCCTGTGCTGGGTGATAACTACTGAAGGTCCATATGCTGACTGCACCTAGTCCAGCCTCCAAGAGACCCCTGGGGGCTACTAAGGTGCTCACTGCCCCAGCAGATGCGAGAGCTGCGGCATGATAATGTTGCCGCCTGCCTGGGCTTCTTCACGGCCCCTGGGATCAGTGCTCTGGTGCTGGAGCATTGTGCCCGAGGCAGCCTGGAGGACCTGCTGCGGAATGAGGCTCTGCGACTGGACTGGACCTTCAAGGCCTCCCTGCTGCTGGATTTGATCCAAGTGAGAACCCTCCCCTGGGCCTGGAGTTGTCGGGGGTGGGGGTGGGGAGTTCAGGGAGACAAGAGATGCTCAGAATTCCCAGACCCAAACTCTTTCCATTTTGTCTGAGGAAAATCTGAACAGTGTGGCAAAAGGTGAGGGGAGGCAGGAAAGCTTTCTGGGATCTGTGGGAATTCTGAGAGGACCAGAGGCCCCTCATATGTCCACCCTAGGGCGTGCGGTATCTGCACCATCAACGATTCCCTCATGGCCGCCTCAAGTCCCGAAACTGTGTGGTGGATGGCCGCTTTGTGCTAAAGGTCACGGACCATGGTTATGCAGAGCTCCTGGACACTCAGCGGGCTCCCCGCCCCCGGCCAGTCCCAGAAGGTCAGCTCAGGGTGGGCAGGGGGCTGCCAGTAGGTTCTCAGGCAGGAGGAGAGGGGAAGATCTCCCATTTTTTGGCACCTCCTGTGGTGTGACCTGAAGATGATGGCGTTTCCTCTCTGAGCCACAGGCCACTTATCTGTAAGGGGCGGGAGCCTACCTCCCCCGGTGCTGTGGGTAGAGGGCAGTGACACAACACATTCGAAGTGCCTGCCTAGCTTGGCCCGCCTTGGGTGGTCAGTGGGTGACGTTGTGTGGACGTGCCCTGTGATTGCAGAGCTGCTATGGACGGCTCCAGAGCTGCTGCGGGACCCCGGCAAGGGCACCCTCAAAGGAGACGTCTTCAGCATTGGCATCATCCTGCAGGAGGTGCTGACTCGAGGGCCACCCTATTGTTCTTCAGGGCTCTCAGCAGAAGGTACAGAATCCTCCTCGTCCTTCCTTGGCCTGTCCCTGGTAGGAGTCTGCACATAGTCGGGGAACTCTGTGACCATCAGGAAATCTGGGCCTGAAAATAACTACACAGATACACTTGTCTGTTTTGACCACAAAAATTGGGTTTCTTTGGTTTCAGCCAGGCAGCCTTCAGCAACTCTGCCAAAATGGCAGCTGAACACCTCAGGGCTAAAGATATCGGTTTCTGGGTGAAAGCCTCAACCCTTTTCTGCCTCTCCCAGTGTCACTGCCACGTGTTCAGATGCTTATGCCCTAACCACCCCACTGCCCAGCACAGCCTCTGTGTCTATACAGACCTCAGTTCTTCCCCAGTTGTATCACTTACTTACTCTGTGACCTTACACAAATCGCTTACCCTCTCTGAGCCTCAGTTTTCTCATCTTTAAAATGAGAATCGAAGATGTACCAGACATCCGACCCACATCTGTTGTGGCCGGGTTGCTCAGCATTGGGAGTTTGGTTCTCTCTCTGGGTGGGGTTCCTTCAAGAGCATCTCTGTTCCCACGCTTTTGGGAGTACAGGATGATTACTCACACCTTCCCTATCATCTCCTGGTCTTAAATATTTTCTCTCTTCTGACCCAGTGCCAGGGCCATTTGCAGAAACATTTTCTCGCCTTCTGTGTTTTCTGTCAAGGCATCCAGGACCACAGGCTGCTCTTCTAGGTGTGCCCCTCCTGCCTCTGTTCAGTTCCAGGGACCTGTCCCCACAGGTACCCTGTCATCAGCCCACAGTGCAGGGCAGTGGGGGAACCCAACCCATCATCCCCTCGCACCCCTAGGAGATAATTTTTAACTCATGGGGAGGCCTAGCCCATTTCCTTTCTCCATCAAAGCACAGCACAGTGAATAATGAGCATTCTAGGCCCAAATTTATGAGGTGGAGGAGTGAGAAGGAGGTAGGATTTTCAGGCCATTTGTTCAGCACTACTCAACTGTCTACCCCCACCATCTGCCCACTGAGAGAGGGAAGACCAACCAAATGGGGCCTGCAAACCATGCCGCCAGTGCATGCCCCTTCAGGCTGGGGCCCCAGCTGGCTTTAGGTGCAGGGACCAAGCTTGGAACCCCATGGCCACCCCTTGGGTCAGGCTGTCAGACCACAGCCTACTACTTCCTGGGCTGCTTTCCCTGGTCTCAGGAAGAACAATGTTAAGAGCATAGGTGCTGGGGGACACCTAACCCCAGCTCTATACCAATTCACCTCATGACTTTGAGTAAATCCTTTTAGTGCTCTGATCCTCAGTTTCCTCATCTTTAAAATGAGGACCATCATGCCTGGCTCCCAGAGTAATTGTGAGGATTCAGTGAAATGCTTTAGACTAAGTGCCTGGCTCATGATGGGCACCCAATAAATATCTACCTCAGTGGTTTTAGGGTTGTGCGAATGGGATCTCGAGTTCTCTCCTGACTCTCCTGCTTAGAAGCAGATCCTGTTAGAAATAACATCTTGCGGTTCCCCCAGCTTTCATATGCATTACTCCATTGCATCACCCTGTGAGTTGGGTAAATGTACTCTTTTCAGGGGCTCAGAGAGAAGAAGGGACTTCACAGTGGGAAGCAGGGGGTCTGGGATTTGGAGAAAAGTCCCCTGATGCAAGCTTAGTGCTCTCGCTCTAATATCTCTTGGTGTCACCCAAGGAGCATCTTCCCCATGGAGCTGGATGTACAGCCTCCTCCCTCAGCTGACATCAAGGCCCATCAATCACTGTAATGCACGGGGTGTGGATAGCGGGCCTGGCACAGTGGGGGAACACAAGGCCCCGCCTGGCCTGGGCCAGTGGTTCCCAGCATGTTCGCATATGAGAACTCCATTTCAATGTCAACAAAGATTGGAGCCTCACATGCTACTATTTGACTTTGAGAAAATACCCAAAGACAAAATCTGCTCTAAAATCAGCACACTTTGAAATAGTATTTTATTCATCACAACACCATCTGAATACTTTTGAAAAAGTATGTGCACAGTGTGTTATTAGTTCCATCTGCTCACACTCCTTTGAGCTCATACAGCTTTCAGACCCTTTACTCGGGGCCCTCAGGTCTGACGCCTGTAGGCTGCGAACCTCTGGGTGGAGGAAATCCTGCAGGTCAGGAGCTGATCTGGCTCAGTTCTAGATTTTGCTTTCTAGCAGCCCTGTGGCTGTGGGTGACCTACTTCACCCCCAGGAACCTCAGTTACCCTGTCTGTAAAATGGGACAGTGACACAGGCACTACCCATGACAAGGAGGCCAACGAAGAGATGGGGAGGAGATTAAAATCCAGAAAGAATCTTCTCCTCATTGGCTCCAAGCACGCCCACCTCCTCATTCAGGAGAGGGGGATTCCAGCCCTCCTCGGAAGAGATGCCTCATAACAGCCCTATGAGGTCTGTGCTATTATTACGCCCCTTTCATCAATGAAGAAACTGAGGCTCAGAGAGGTGATATGACTTGTGCAGAAGGTAAATGGATAATCTCCATCCTACTCTGCTGAAAGCCTGAGCTTGAGACCCAGCCCTTCTTCCTCCCAGTGTCTTTGTGAATCTCTCAGCACCCCTGGCTCCCCCACAGACTCCTGAGATGAGAGTCATTTCCAGCCGCTGTTAGGTGGGGAGACAGAGGCACAGAGTGATAGCAAATGGCAGAGCCAGAACGAAAACACTAATCTATCTGACCTCGACTTTGGTGGCCTTTATCATATGAAGTGGGGACAAGAAGATTCATGGCAGGGTTGGTTGTCTTGGGAAAATAATGATGGTGATGATAATAAGCAGATAGTTTTGCTTCACACTTGTAGGGGATTGGCCCCAGAAAGTCTCCAAGAGGCAGGGCTGGTGAAAAGAGCCAGGTGGGCGTCACCGGCAGCAGAAGGGCAACCGTTGTTTTAGGGTCTGGGTGACGGGGAGAGACTGCTGGGTGCCAGGCATCTAACAACATCCATCGCCTCCTCCTTCCCTGCCCCTCTCAGGAAGGCAGTTTATTAAGCTCATGTCAGGGATGGGGAGACGGAGGCGCAGAGAAGTCACTGCCTTGTTCACCATCTCACAGAAAGGTGGTGGCCGACCCAGAATTCAAACCCCACTTTCCCAGCTATACCTGAGGTAGACCCTTTCCTGAGACCTGAGACCCTTTTCCTTAGACCCTTTTCTCGGCCACACCATGGGGTGAACCCAGGAAAGCAATAATCCTGGGTCTACTGGGCAGGATGCGCTGGGGCCCGGAGCAGGGGCCAAGGAGTAGCTTCAAGGCCTGATCCCTGTACCCCTACACACCTACCTGCCCTCCCTCTCAGGAACCCAGGACATCCCCCTCCCATGATCCCTCCTAGGGACTTCAAGCTCACCACCCACATCATGTTTATTGTAGAAATCATCAGAAAGGTGGCATCGCCCCCTCCCCTGTGCCGGCCACTGGTGTCCCCTGACCATGGGCCACCCGAATGCATCCAGCTGATGGAGCAGTGCTGGGAGGAGGCCCCGGAGCACAGACCCAGCCTGGACCAGATCTACACCCAGGTCAGTGCTTTCCAGTGGAGCCTGGTGTTCACAAGAAATAACTGATCAGTTCACTTAGCTTTGCCCAGGGGGAGCTCCATGCTACCCCTGGGGTCCAGAACCCCATGCAAAAAGGGGACAATGGCCCAATACCATCATCCCTGAGGGTGGAGCCTGAAGTCCTTCCTCTGAGGCAGTGGTCCCCAACCGTTTTGGCACCAGGGACAAGTGCTCCTATGAGAATCTAACGCCTGATAATCTGAGGTGGAGCTGAGGTGGTGATGCTAGTACCAGGGAGCGGCTACAAATACAGATGAGGCTTTGCTGACTTGCCTGCCTCTCACCTCTTGCTGTGCAGCCCGGTTCCTAACAGGCTATGGACCAGTACCAGGATGCAGCCCAAGGATTGGGGACCCTGCTCTAAGGAAAGCTTTCTCAGAACTCCAGGTACTAGGGACACTGGCTGAGTTCCTGAGTGCCAAGCCCTGTGCTAAATGCTGTGCTGGTTTCATTTAATCTTTGTGATAGTCCTCCAAAGAAGCATTGTTATCACTTGGGCTTTACAGGAGAGAAACTGAGGCACAGAGAGGTAAGGGGATTTGCTCAAAGTAGCTCAGAGAGCGGAAGGTGGCACTAGAGTCCAAACCTGGGTTTGTCTTTCTGCAGAACAAACCTGTACTGGGCCTCCTGGCACCAGAGCAGAAAGGCCATTTGTGGCTGTGGAGCCACACTGGTTCCCTGCAGAGAGAGTGGAAGATGTGAGGAGGGCTGGGGCCCCAGGCCTGCCTTGGGGACTGCAGCGGGAGGGGTGAGGCAAGTCTGTACGAGTTTGTGGGGCAATGGAGTGAGTGGGCCTGACTGAACTGGTTAATGGCTCCCACAAGGCCAAAGCATCAAGCTTGAGGTGACATCTTTGTGCCTCCCCTTTCCAGCCAGCCACAGCAGAATGTTGTCAAGGAGAGGTTGTCAGGTAGTTATTGAAGGTACGATTTATAACCACACATGGATGTCCTCATACAAAGACCTAAGAGAGGTAATTCTCTCTGCTCAGTGCCAGCGGTAGTTGTGTTTGTTTTGAGCAACTAGTTTAATGGTCTATTGTCTCATGATGCCATGGGTATTGTAATCTATATATCCCTCTTTGCTTTGTTGCTAGGAAGCTCATATCTGAACTCGTGACCACATTCTAGCATGCATTTTGCAAATAGACTGCACTTCTAGATTAGTTTCTTTTTTAAACCTTTACTCTCCTTTGGTCTCAATGTCCTTATATATGTATTATTTTATTTTGTGGCATTGCTTTATTTTTCTTACTACTTAAAATTTGTTTTTGGAATACAGGGAGAAATAGAGAGGTAGAAATACATTATTATGTAATCTACACATATTCTTTCTACCTGTCTATCCACCCATCTATCCATCTACTTATTCATCCATCCATCCATCAATCCATATCCACCCATCCATCTATTACCTAGTGACTGATCCATCCATCCATCCATCCATCCATCCATCTTTGAGAGGAGCAAAGAATGCCTTTCCACAGTGTGGTTGTGAGAATCGATGCAGTCGGGTTAGTGTTCCTTAGCAATAATGCTGTACTGGACTCAGGCTCTTTTTTAAAGTTCTCTTTGCTCACCCCACACAGAACTAACCCATTCTTCTTCCCAGTTTTCTGTGCTTTCCCTTGTCAGAGCTGCCATCTCATCTATTACATACCCAGTCCCCAATAACCCAGCTCCTCCAGGCAAGGACTGGGTCTGGTTCATTCCTGTAGCCTAGACTCCTAAGCCGCAGGCTGAATGTGCTGACTTGCATGGATGAGTTTGGATTTTTGTTACATCTTCAGTTCAAAAGCATCAACCAAGGCAAGAAAACCAGTGTTGCCGACTCTATGCTGCGGATGTTGGAGAAGTATTCCCAGAACCTGGAGGACTTGATTCAGGAGCGAACTGAGGAACTGGAGCTAGAGAGGCAGAAGACGGAAAAGCTGCTCTCTCAGATGCTCCCTCTGTGAGTGGCCCCTTAGGACTCGATTGTGTCTCTAGCCTCAGTAGCTCTAAGCATGGGCCCTGGATGTAGTAGGTGCTCAGTAAATCTGGGTTCCATGAGTTCATTTGATTCATTCATTGTTTACTTACCTAACATATTTTCCTAAAGCCTTTATATGCTTTAGACACTGTGCTGGGCACACGAGAATTGAATTTCTCCTACTTCACTCCCGTGGGTGCCAAGGAGAGGGTATAATGTCCCCCATCTCACTTCAGAGGAAGTAATAATGTCCAGAGAGGGACAGGTATAACCCGCAGGCCAGCACACCAGCAGGCCTGTCCCAGATCCCCTGACCCTCAACCCAGGATTTCCCCCAAATAACTCTCCCTTATCTGCAAACTGTGGAAAGGGGTTCCTCCTACCTTGTGACTCTGACCTTTCCCATCTCTCCAGGTCTGTAGCCAAAGCTCTGAAAATGGGGGTGACTGTGGAGCCGGAGTACTTTGACCAGGTTACCATTTACTTCAGTGACATTGTGGGTTTTACTACCATCTCAGCTCTGAGTGAGCCCATGGAGGTAGTGGGCTTGCTCAACGACCTCTATACACTGTTCGATGCTATTCTGGGCAGCCACGACGTGTATAAGGTGAGAGTACCAGGAGGCTGGCATTCCCTCCCTCCTTCCTTTACCACTATGTTTGTCATACATTTATTTCCAGTCATTTATTCATGTGTTTCTATCAGGTAGCTATTGTTGTGTAACAAATAATCCCCAAATCCAGGAGTGTGAAACGATAAGTTTTTATTATTGCTCGCAAACCTATAGTTGAACTGGAAAGTTCTCTGGACTCAGCTGGACTCATGCATACATCTGTGGTCAGCTGTGGGTGAGAAAGGAAGCACTGCTGTTCCTGGCTGAGCTCTCTCCCATCTCTGGAGCCTTCGCTGAAACAACTCAGTTCTGGTCCACATGATCTTTCAGCCTCCAGCGGGCCAGCTGGACAAGGGAAACCAGATGAGGCAGCTCCTGTGCCTGCTCTCAGGGAGCTCTTGGTGCTATAGGTAAAAGATGAAGGCAACTCACAGTCAAAGTGATGATCAGGGGAGGTAGAGAAGGCTGAGAGGACCCTCGATCCAGCCAGGGGTAGATGTGCAGAGTAAAGAACAAGGAAGACTTCTTGGAGGAGGTGCTGTCTTCCTAGTATTGTCCAGTCTGGCGGCTTTAGGTAAGCACTGGGATAATGTGTACTAACGCCTAAGGCTTGAGAGGGTGGGCTGGTGATTGTGAGGAATGCTGAATGAGTTGTGATGGCTCTGTGTGAAGTGGGCCAGTGGTGAGAGTGAGTGGGTGGACGGGGGCACTGAAGAGGCAGCAGGGGCCTTGGCAGAGCTGTTGAGACCATCTGTGACCTAGTCCCTTTGCACCTCTTGATCCTGGCTTTGAGTCCCAGCCTGGCATCCAGCTTCTGTGTGACTTTGGGCAAATCACTTCCCTTCTCTGTTCCTTTATCTATAAAACAAAAATAACAACCCCAGTCTCAGAGAGGGGATTCACAGACAATGGGAGGATTCTATCCGCCTTGCAGAAGTGCTGTGTAAACCATTTCCCTCTGAGCCTGCCGTGGGGATCTTCTCACCTCAAGCCTGCCCCTTATTCTGATCCATTTACTGGGGGTCTTGAGTCAGCTTCAGACATGGTGAAGATGGAGGTGGGAGGCTGGTCCCAGGAAATGGCCACACTCAGGATCCACTGGCCTTAGCCTTCATTTGTGACCAGCCATCCCCCTTCCAGCCACAGCTCTCCAAGGATGCAGGGATAGGGAAAGGCCAGACCCTGAGGATGAAGTCAGAGTAGGAAGGTTGCCTAGACAGGAAGTTTCAGAGGAGAAAACTGTTTGAGATGCCAGGCAATCTGCTGATAGCATTAGGTACAGTATCCCAACAACAATAATCAGTACTTATTGAGTGCTTACTGGATACTGGGCACTAGTTTAAGCACTTGACATGTATTAATCCACTTAATAATCATAACAATCTGTGAGGTAGGTACTGGTACTCCTAATTTATAGATGAGGAAACCGAGGTAACTAAGTGGCTTGTCTAGTTACATATTCCCAGTGGGATATGATGCTAAAATTTGAACTTGGGCATTCTGGTCCTAAGACCCCTCTTCAGGTGGGTCTCACCATCCCTGTGATTTGGATGTCCTGAAGATAAAGCCACAGGGTCATAGTGGCCCACAAGGCTCTCCAGAAGCTGGCCCTGCCTACCTCCCTGGCTGCTTCTCTGGCCCTCCACCTATGCAGACCTCTATATATTCCTCACACATGCTTTGCTTTCTCTAGCCACTAGGCCTTTGTACTTGCTGTTCTCTCATCCTGGAACACTGCTTTTCCTCTTCTTTACCTGGCTCCCTCCTTGTCATCCTTCTAGTCTAAGGTTAGTTTCCTTGCCCTTGCAGGCATGGTTAAGAGCTCCTGTGTGATGCTCTCATAATTACCTGTGGACAACACAGACACATGTTATGGTTCCAACCTAAACCACTCTGTCCCCAGTGCCTGGCAATGTCTAACACATGGTGGGCTCTCAGGAGCTCATCAAGGCACAGAGTAGAAGTGACTTACCCAAGGTCACACAGCTGGTAGGTGGCAGAGCCAGAACAGGCATCTGGAGCATCCACCACCACCTGGCTCTGTCCGCTGCATCACAATGCCCAACACTGACCCATGGAGACCTGAGCCATCGACATTCCAAGGGTGCAGCTTCCCTCCTGTTCCCCGTTCAGGACCCCGCTTTCCTACCCTGGCCCATGGTTCTGAGGCATTGTCTCCCATGCTGGCTGAGTTTCCCTCTTTCCTCCAGAGCCGCCCTGGCCTCATGGACCCCCACAAAAGATTCCTCATCTTGTCTCATCTCGCTGAGCCCTGCAGCTTTGATCTGTCCTGAGTCAGCCCTGGGCCTTGTCTCTTCCTCTCCTGCTAATCTTTTCTCACACATGTGTCCCTCCCAGCTCTGAATCACGCCTTCTGATCTGCTCTGAACTCTGGCCAAGAGGTCTGCATCTTTCTGGCAGAGTGAAATGAAATAAAACAAGGCCCGCACACCCCTCCAGATGTGGGGAAACAGGAGGCCCATTCCTCATGATGTGTGAGCCCGTCTCTCATCACTCACACCGTCCGCCTTGGTTTCCCCTCCGTCCCCAGCAGGATCTGGTTACTGCTCTTTAATCCAGTCTGAGTTGGGAGGCAGCCAGGCAATCATTTCCTGGTTCCTCGGGGGTCTGCGATTCTCTCCCAGCATGCGTGGAGTGAGCATTTTTATGGACAGAACTCTAGAGCAGAGCCCATGTGGGCTGCCCCGGGGTTGAATCTGGCCCTGGCCGTACTGCCGAGCAACCATGGACAAATCACTTCACCACTCTGAGCCTTAGGCTCCCATTTGTAAACAGAGATGAAAAGTGTTTATGGCTTAGAATCATTCTGCAAAGTAAGCAATGTGAAAGAAAGTGCTATCGTTCATTCATTCACCAATACGATGTAGCACTGCAGGCGTGGGTGCTGAGGCCCCTCCCAGAAAGCACAGACTAGGGCTAGGAAGCATTAGTTAAGCATCTAAAGAGTGCTGACCCAGTCTAGGGATTGTCACTGGGTATCTCATTTAAACTTTGCAGTGCTCCTCAGAGGGATGGATCACTATCCCTACCGCACAGGCTCAGAGAGGTAAGTGACTTGCCCAAGGTCACACAGTAAGCCAGTGGTGGAGTTAAAATTCACATGGAAACCTTTTCTTTTACCTCTCCCCTGGCCGTGTTCTCCCATCCGCAAAAGGACCACACCTGTGTACAAGAAGCCATGGCCCTTACTTGCAGCCATGATCTAAGATCTAAGTCTTTAGAGATCATCTTTACGAGTCTGGGCTCCTAGAGAGCAGAGCCTGTGACTGGTCTCTGTCACTGGGGTTGTACAGGTGATTACTGATTATACCACACTGTCCCCTCCAGTTTAGCCTGCTGGCAGGTGGAGGGATAGAGGTCAGGTTTAGCAGTTTGGAGAATGTGGCCTGAATGTGTGGCCACCATGGATATTTCTACTGCTCCTCTTTCCTAGTCTGGACCTTGGGTCACCCATCTGAGGCAGCACTGGGTCCCTAGAATAGGTGCCCTGCCCCTGACTCACAGCTGCATACCTGGTGGGCCAGCGGTGGGACAAGCAAGCAACAGGTCTCCTGGGCTGCTTCTGTGAGGCAGGATTCAGCTCAGATGCACGAGCTAACCATGTGCAGGGCAGGATCAGAGGGAAATTCCACACAGCAGGCAGATCCCGCCTCCCCAAAAGAGAGAGAGAAAGAGGCAGGATCAGAGGGAAATTCCACACAGCAGGCAGAGAGGGAGAAAGGGTCAGGCCAAATGCATCAAGAGGCAGCATAGCACATGAGCTCTGGAGCTGAGCTGACCAAGTTCAAATCTGTGATGTGGGATGTTGGTGAATGACTTAACCTCTCTGGCCCAGTTTCCATCTGCAAAATGGCAATAGTAATAATACCTATTTCACAGAATTCTTGTGAAGATCTAATGTACAATATTTGTAAAGGATTTGGAACAGTGTCTGACACATAATAATTGCTATACAAACACTTAAGCACCTAATCTTACCTTCTTCTAATTTTGTCAATCAAATAAGGCCTTCTTCCTCCTGTGTGGAAGAAAGAGGTGGGCAGAGGGAAAGCCAGGGTTCACTCATATTTTTTCTTTCTAGGGTGCGGGGTATGAAGTTTCTCTCATCTGTGGAAATGTACATAGTTGGGGGTAACCCTACCCCCAACCTGCCACATTCACTGCCAGACCACAAATGCTGGGGGGACAACCACACGTGACAGGGAAGGAGAAGGAGGTCACAGCCCCAAAGGGGTAAAAATCTTTTCCCCAGCTGGTAACTGGGAAGATTTTATGGACTCGATCAAGTGTGAGCTGGGCTGATGGAGGGCTCAGGTCTCAACAGATAGGGATTTGAGGAGAGCATTTCAGGCAGAGGGAACGGGTGATCAGGGCCTGGAAGAGAGCAAGTGCCCTGTGTCTCTACGGAGAGTAGAAAGGTTCTTGTTAGGCTGAAGCGTGGGGAACCAGGAGCAGCTAACTGTTAAGAATAAGTCAAGGAATTCTGCAAATCATGGGAGTCCCTGATTGCTAGGATGTGGGGCGTGAATTTTAAGCCATTGGCCATGGAGAGTATGAGTAAATTTAAGTATCTGAGCAGAATATGGCATGATTAGGGCAGATTACTTCTTGCTGTCCAGGTAGAGATAGCCTGGGTGAGGGAGAGATTTGGGAGACACAGGTAGGAGGACACAATCCACAGCTAATGTTGTATATTGAATTGCAGCACCCTGTGGGCAGGGATAACATTATCACTAATATTATTGTCCACCAGGTGCTAAGGGAGAGTGGAAGTGCCTGGCCAGGGATGGCTATGCTCCCTGGCACAAGTGGTGCCAGCATGTGCCAGCTGCAGGAATGTGGGAACCAAGCTTGTTAGCCTGCAAAGGGGAAGACGCAGGAGGGAGGAGTGCTATATTTACCTTGATTGGCCTGGCCTGTAGCAGGGGAAGGCCACGGTATACATCTGTATCCCTAGCACCTGGAACAAGGCCTTTGGAAGAGAGAAGGTGCTTAGGAAAGGTTTACGAATTGAATTCAAGAAGTACAGCTAAAACCATCGAATGAGAGACAGGTTTCAATTCAACTCAACTTTTGAAAATCAGGGTTACCTAAAGGGAGAAGTGGCCACCTCAAGAAGGAGGGACCTTCCTATTAAGAGACATGAGTAGGCCAGGACAGCCACTGTAGCTGGTGAGGTGGGTGGGTGGCCTTTAAAGTCCCTTCCAATTCGGAGATTCCGTGATTCTATCTTCTCCAAAGTCACTAGCCAAGGAGATGGTGATGATGATGATGATGATGATGATGATGATGGAGACAGAAGTCTTTGTTTATCGAGCATCTATGATGAGCCTTGTTCTTTAAATACTTTATCTTTAATATGCATTCCACATAAGAGGAAACAGGCTCACACAGGTGAAGTTGTCTGCCCAAGGTAAATGGCAGAGCCAGGGTTTGAACCCACATCTATCTGATTCCAAAATCTACATTTTTTTTCAGCACACATTTGAAGGCCAGTGGGGTTTGGAAATGGTGTATATTCATTATGTACATGCTCTTCTCCAGATGAAGCCCTAACTTGGCACTGTGACATTGTGCAGATGGGACACCGGGGTCTGCCACCAAGGAGCTCATGGCTTGGGATCAGAGGAGATAGGACAGGCATGGCCGCCTGTGTTCAGACAAAAGTGATCTAAAAGTTGCAGATCTAAAATGGCAGAGATGGCCCTGTGGGCCAGAGACTAGAGGGGTCGACAGGGGCCCCCCAGAAGTGGCTTTGTGCGGGATGTGGGGCAGACCAGGGAGGGCGTGTTTTCATGCTGGAGTGTAAAGGCTATGATTTCTAGGTGGAGACCATTGGGGACGCCTACATGGTGGCATCGGGGCTGCCCCGGCGCAACGGGAGCCGGCACGCAGCAGAGATTGCCAACATGGCCCTGGACATCCTCAGCTCTGTGCGGGGCTTTCGGATGAGGCATGCGCCCAACGTGCCCATTCGCGTCAGGGCCGGCCTGCACTCAGGTATGGGCTGGGGGCTGCGGGGCGATGAGCTAGACCAGTCTCCCAACCCTGCCTGCAGCATTGGCTGAGGCCACCCCATTGATGTGCTTCTGGAATTCAGAGGTCCTAAAACTCTATGATTGATTTTTTTTACATTTCTCATTTTCTTCTAATATTTTAAGGTTCTAAGATATTATAACTCCCAGAATCTGTGATGCTCAGATTCACATATCTTTGTTTTGGTCTCAGCATCTGTCAAGGGCATCCAAGTTCATGCTGAGATACTGATAGTTTGATGGAAGAGACAGGACAGAGATCTTCTGTGGTCATGCAAACTAAATGTTTGTTGGGATGGGTCTGGGAGAGACCTCAAGGTCTCTGATATATTCTTCTCATGGCCCTACTTCTCTCTCTCTCCATGGTTTTCCTGCAGGATGAAGTCCAAACGCTCTGCCCTCCTAGTCACCAAGGCCCTTGGTAATCTCTTCAACCTCATCTCCCAACACTCCCCGCTTGGCCCTCCACCCAAACTCAGCTGCTTGCAGTTTCCCAGAAACACATGGGCTCTCTGCTTCTGTGCCTTGGCACCTGCTTTCTCTGCCTACTCATTCTCTCATTCTTCAAGACACAGCTCATGCACTTCCTCCTCCAGGAAGTCCTCTGAGCTGGGTTTAGGTTCTCTTTCTGGGTTGGCACAGCCCTGGTGCTTCCCTTTTCACAGCATTGATCACAGTTTACACGTCTCCCCTCTCCCCCAAGAGCAGAGACTGGTTTCGATTTATCTGTGTCCCCGTACCTTCAGCCCAGAGCCTGGCACAGATGTCATCTCCTCTTTGGGTGTTGTTGGAGGCTCCAGATAGCTTCATTCTCACCCCACCCCCACCCCCCTGCCCCAGCTTGAGCCCAGGATGTGGAGTGGGCCTGGCAGTGGGAGTAGGGAAGGGCAAGACTGTCATAGGAACTTCTCTGTGGTCCAGAACCTGCTGGAGCTCACTGGACCCGTTTCGGTTTCAGGGCCCTGCGTGGCGGGGGTCGTGGGTCTCACCATGCCTCGCTACTGCCTCTTTGGGGACACTGTTAACACTGCATCCCGGATGGAGTCCACAGGGCTACGTGAGTGTCTCCTATTTCTATCCTGCCCAGGAAAGGATTCTCTTTCTCAATGACTCCTGCAGCCTGGCTATTTGAAACAGTGCTTAGGAACCAAATCACCACCTGGTGGCAGCGTACAGTAAAGTAACTATAGTGAGATGAAGTATGTCATTGGTTCTTTTAACTTTCCTTGATTTTGTGACGATCTCATAAGAGAATTAGCAGAGAAAACAATGATTCAAGAGGCAGGAAACCTGGGTCCTAGCCCTGACTGCAACTGGTTTGCTTAGTGTCCTTCAACAAAATGCTCTTTGTCTAGGTCTCGGTTTCTCTCGTTTTACAATGAGGAGACCCCTTTCAATTTTTTAAAATGCCATTTTAGGTTTTTTTTTTTTTTCTGGCAGCAGAAGACACTGTGTGGCTTGGTTAGAGCAGCCAAAAAAGTTGAAGTCCTAGGAATCTCTGCTTCTGGCTGCATAGCTCGTGTGCTGCATGAGGTTGTTCAGCACCCATCCTGCACAACTAGACATGGTGGCCCGACCTTCAACAAAATGCTCTTTGTCTAGGTCTTGGTTTCTCTCGTTTTACAATGAGGAGACCCCTTTCAATTTTTTAAAATGCCATTTTAGGTTTTTTTTTTTTTTCTGGCAGCAGAAGCCACTGTGTGGCTTGGTTAGAGCAGCCAGAAAAGTTGAAGTCCTAGGACCCTCTGCTTCTGGCTGCATAGCTTGTGTGCTGCATGAGGTTGTTCAGCGCCCATCCTGCACTACTAGACATGGTGGCCCGATTGGGGTGTCCTGCCTTTAAAAAAAAAAAAAAACTGTTTGTCTGCTCTGACTCAGCTGTCACAGACTTCCCTCCAAGTGGTAATTATGTTCCTAGAGGTTCTGACTTCATCTTGAGTTCCTCTTAACACTCAATCTATGTAATGTGCTTTTCCTTGAGGCTTCTATTTTAGTGACGAACTACCTACTAAAAGAGCAAGAGAAACAGGAAAAGAGTATCACATGAATCAGAATTGTGTGTGTTACTGGCTAGAACTGGGGCACTTAAGGTGTTGACATTACCTTTCTTCTCAGCATACAGAATTCATCTCAGCAGAAGCACTGTCCAGACACTGCTCAGCCTGGATAAAGGCTACAAAATTGACATCAGAGGCCAGACTGAGCTAAAGGTGAGAGACTTTCTTTTCTTGGATTGGTGGGAAAAGTCCCCAAAGGCCTAGTTTCCGTGGGCATATAGGAAATGTCCGCTTGGAGCTAGGGATGGAGCTGATCACCTTTACATGTTCTCCACTCTCCAAATTCTAAGGAAACATTTCTCCCTGGAGCCATTCCTTCACTGGCTTCTCATGTGAAGGGCCAGGGCAGAGACGTTACTTCTATTGATGATCTACCCGGGTAGCATGCTGGTGCACAACATGTATTAACGTACTAATTACTCACAGCAATAATGAAAGGGGGATCAATGCCCCCATTATAGTTGAGGAAATTCAAGCAACTTGTCCAGAGTCTCACAGCTTATATCCCAGGTCTGGTTGCTCCAAAGCCTGTGCTTTCTCCATAGTACCGTTGGGCTCCTACTCATCCCTCAGAACCCTAACACAAACATCAGCTCTCACTGAAATCTGCCTGACCCAAGAACCCTCTTCTTCCTTTCCCCAGCAGTAACTATCATGCCTTCTCCCCACCCACCAGTCCCAAGACCAGCCTTCTGCTGTTGTAGATGTGGTATTGAGTTGTATTTGCCCCTGAGCACCGCAAAGGCAGAGACGACTCTGTAACCTCTGCATTCTTTTTATTAATGTTAATGTTCATTAAATGGAACTGTATACCTATGAATGATTTTTCTTCCTACCCCATCTCTTCTCCTTCCCCCAATTCCTCAGCTAGAGTCAGGCCTGGTTGGGAGATGGGGGCAGCCTAGCCAGTTAAAGGCCCAGGGCTGAGACTGGGCCTCAGAAATTGGGTGCTCCGGGGGACTCGCTTCATTATGCTGTGAAATACCAGAGCAGGAGGGTACATTCAGGGAGGGGCAGTGACTTGTCCACGGTCACAGAGTCTATGAGGGCCAGTGATATGGAATCCTTTGCTCTGGAGCCTGAGGTTATGGAAGAGTGAGCTGAAGTAAGTCAGGGCAGGTGTATCTTGTTTGAGGGAGTGGGCACTGGGTGTCCTGAGGAACAGAGACACTCTGATGACAGAAAGTGATGCAGAGTGGGAGTGGGGAGGACAGCAGGCCAACCTCAGGTTCTTCAGGCTGGTGTGGAGGCCCCAAGGGGCAACATCCATTCCTGTCCCAGGGTGAGTATGGAACCTCTAGATCAGCCAGCCCTGACCCTAGCCCCTCCTAACCTTCAGGCAGCTGTACCCCCATCCCAGGGGAGGCCACCAGGTCCCTCGATAGTTGGGTAGAATCATAGATCATAGAATCCTGGCATCTTAGCATTCCAGATCTGCTGGTCATAAAATTCATGATTTATTATTTATTTCTCTGACAGATAAATATTAACTCATTTAATCCTCACCACAACTCTATGAGGTATTGGGGAAACTGAGGTACAGAAAGGTGAAGTAAGCTGGCCAAAGTCACACAGCTAGCAAGTGACAAAGCCGGGATTTGGACCCATACAGCTCTTCTCCAGGCTCTAGGCTGCTCTCCACTGACTGCTGGAATTGCGTGCCTCTGCCTTGCTCTATGCTTGTGAAGATCGCTCAATCTCCTTTCCTGTCTCTTCCAGGGGAAGGGCACGGAGGAGACCTATTGGCTGGTAGTGAAAGCAGGCTTCCCCAGACCCCTCCCCACACCTCTGGACATCAAACCTGGGTGAGTAAGAGGGATTTCTCCAGAAGCTTGGCATCTTCTGTTCGAAATTTGATATTTGTTATTTTTCTGATTATAAAAGTCTTATCTGCCTAGTGTGGGATACTTAGAAAATACAGAATTCTTTAACAATTAAATAATCACCATTTTTCCAACCCTGAGAGACAGCTACCATTAGCACTGTAGCACAGTTCCTGCCAGCCTGTTTCTGATGCATTCGTTGTGGATGAGATCATGCTGCCTCGATAACTTCTCATTCTGATCTGTGCTCTCAGCTCGACATCCCAAGCGCCTTCCATATTGTTCAGAGAGCTTTCTAAACACACTCATAGTGACAGCATCAGGATGATAACATTTGTGTGTGCCATGATTAGCTCAACCTTTGCCCCATTGCTGAGCATGTAGAATCTTCCCATTTTGAGCAGCTTACAGCTAATGCATTGATAGATATTATTGGGCATTTGTCACCATTCAGACTATTTCTGCAGAGGTCGAAGGGCAAGGGACATAGGTGTTGCCAATTGCCGAGAACTATAGTTTCCTAGAAATAAGAAGGTTCCAGGGACCAGAGGGGCCCACGGGTCATTTCACCAGTGGGGAGGTTGAGCTTGGGGATGGGCAGAGCCCACCCGGGGTCCCACAACATGACCACAGCAGAGCTCCCTGCCCAGAGTTTTTCCTTTATCAGAACTCCCCACCGACTCCTCTCAGCTATTCTAGGATGGCCCTCTGCCCATGGTTGCCGCCTCCCATCTCTCAAAGATGAGAAATACATAGGGCACACATGGGCTTCCTAGGAAAGGACCGGTGCTAGAGCAGCCCGAGCTGTGTGGATGAACTGGCATGGACAGGGGTGACTGGCAGGGAGCAGGTAGCAGCAGCTATTTCCTTTCCACCCTGCTGTCAGGGTACCCCAAGGCCTCAGGACCCCCGGTAACTCAAGGCAGAGCAGTGCCAGAGGGCAAAAACTGCCTTCATTCATCTCTTAGTGCCCTTCCCCAATAGGCAGTGTGGGAGGGGACCAGGGTGGAGATGGGCACGCACTGGCATACAGAGAAGCTGCCGGGGTACAGAACACACAGATGTCCTCCTCCTTAAGGACAGGCCAGCCTCCTGGGTGCGGAACCAGCCTGTGTTCACAGAAAGGCCGCCGCACAGCCCAGGGTCCTTCGCCTCTGCAGACAGTCTTTGTGTGATGGCTTGCTGGGGTGGCAGAGTGGTATGAGGATGGGGCTTAGGTCCGGGGCATGGACTGTCTGTGTGACTTTGGGCAGGTCCCTCTCCTCTCTGGGCCTTCCCACGTGCCACAGCAGCCTTGGCTCACCTATCCCCGGGAGAGCAGCTGTGGCCGTTTGTTCCCTTTCCCCATCCATCAAAGTCCTGTACTCCAGCCAGCCCCTCAAAGAGCAAGCCGTCCTCTGACGTCACAGCCCTCTGCTGCCCACCCCACTTCTCACCTCCACTCGGAGCTACACTTCTCAGAAGGCCTGTCTGCTGACGCTGACTTCACTTCCTCACCTCCCACTCCCTGCCCAGCCCCCGCAGTCTGACTTCCAACCCATCCACCTAGAAAGCTCTGTGAAGGTCACCCGTGACCTCTGCCCATGTCACTGGATCCGTGGGGAGTTTTAGTTCTCAACCTGACTCCAGCAGCATTTCTCCTCTGCCCTCCCGCTTCCTAGAAATGGGCTCTCATCAGCGTCCTCGGCACCTGGCCATGTTCCCTCCTCTCCAACTCGTCCTCCTCTGGTTCCTCTCTTCTCCATAACCCTTAAATGCTGGGGTGGCAGATGGTTCCTCCCTGGGATGTCCTATCCAGATGCTGACACACCCCTTGTAGGCCTTGGGCCCCCACCACCCCTCTGAGCTCCAGGACCATGCAGCTCACACTGCCCTCTCAGCGATTCTCTTTGGAGACTTCATGGCATCTCAGACCCCCTTGGTCCACCTGGCAGCCGGGCCCTCCTCCAGAGTTCTTACTCAGAAAGCTGGACGCTGTCCGGGAATCCTCAGCAATCCTGGAGCTCTGCCTCCATCACACCCCCAGTCTGCGGGCTTCTCTAGCTCCACACCTCTCTCCTGGCCACTGCAGGGGCTCCTGGCCCTTTTTCTTCATCCACTGAGTCCTTCCATTCATCTCCACTAGCAGCCAAAGTAATCTTTTAAAGAAAACACAAACACAATCAATATGAAACTTTCCTATTTAACCATGTGGGGCTTCCTACATCTCTGAGGCTCAAACCCAAACTCTTTCATGCTACCTCTTAAGGCCCGGCTCTGTCTGACCCCTCAGCTTCATCCCTCCTGCCACCTTCTGCCACCAAGCCACCTACTCAGGGCTTTCTCATCGTTCTTTAAAATACACTGAGCCTCTTCCCACCGCAGAGCCTTTGCTCTCATCGTCCCCTGAACCTGGAACACCCAGACCTGGTCCCTTCTTATATTGCAGGTCTTAGCCTCCTTCATGTGACAGCTCTGATCACACACTCTAAATGGAGCTCTGCGGTCATCCTGTACCCCATCTCCCAGCATTGTGTCCCCTCAGCACTTGTCACTCCCTGGTATTTCCTATTGACACGTTTATAGAACTTTCCCCTGCCAGCAGCACAAGCTGGAGATTCCGGCCAGCATGTGCCTGCACATTCCCCAGTGCCCAGTGCCCAGGGAGGGTGAGTTCTTGAGCTCCTGCCCCTCCCCAGTGGGGCCCTGGCCATGCAGGCCCTAGGCAGCCCAGCTCCCAGCCCTTCCTGACCCATCCCGTCCTGGGAGTGGAAATTGGCAGGCCTGGCAGCCATTTGTCATCCCGAGCTCTCTCAGCTGATGACTTTCCCACTCTCGAACAGAAATTTTAGAATGTGCCAGAAACGTTTTCATCTTCTTGGCTCAAGGAGGGAGGAAGGCGGAGATCAACCCCAGTGAGCTTCACCTGACTTGGGAGCCGCCCAAGCCTCCAGGCAGGCAAGGGAGAATTCCACACTCATCTAGGCCCACGGGCTCAGATCCGCATGTGGGCGCACAGGGGACCATGCACGTGTGCACATGGGCACACACACAAGTGCACGCACACACACGTGCATACACACTACACCCATCGTAGGCATCAGGCACATACACATATAGAAACATCACCACATGCCCCTCTGCCTGCCTGGAGATGAGATCACAGACAGACCAACAGACACACAGACACACAGAATCTCTACAGGAAGGGCTAGGATGCCAGTTGCATGGGAACTTGTCTTAGAGTTGTGTTTACAAGGCAGTTACCAAATTTTACTTGAACTGCATGCTATAGCTTGATTTTTTTTTAATTTAAATTTTCTAAAGATGCTTTGATCTTCACTTTCTGTATTTGCCATATGTGCAGAAGTTATTCATCTTTATATATGGGGATGTTTGGGGAGACTGGTGGAGATCAGGGGAAGGGGGCAAAAGCCCCTCCAGGTCTTGGTGTAGCGACGACGCAAGCAGCAGTGCTCACAGAAGTGCTTCCTGTCATGTGTCACAGAGACACTGCACAGAGTGGCCCCTTCTCTCCCCTCTGCTTCTGCCAACAGCCTCAAAAGTATCCCCTGCCAGGTTGCTGTGAGGTCCTGGCTGTCTCTAGGAGCCTTGCTCCCTGTTCTGTGCAAAAGGGATAACTCCATTCAACCCTCCTCCAGACACGTGTGGGAAGCAAATGAGAAATGAGTGTGTGCAGGATGGGGGTCCAGTGTCCCTTCCCCGGATTTGCATAATACCCAGAGAGTTACATAGACCCTTAACCCTTGGCCTTATGGCCTCCCAAGGTCACATCCTAAGTAAGGAATAGAGCTGGGTCTAGCTTCCCTTCTCCTGAGAGGCCTCTGGACTTGAGGCTGCACATGTTCCTCTCTGAGCATTGGTCTCCTAAATTTCAAAGTGGGAAGCCCACTGGTCTGCCCATGGCAGGGTTAGTGCAGGGATCAGGAAAAGCCAGGGAAGTAAAAGGGGCTCCTTATGAGCAGCTGTGGGCTCTAAACGCCCACCATTGTTATTCTGGGTGGGGTTTTATTATTCTTGTTTTTCCTTTTTTCCCTAGGGACCCCTGGCAGGACCTCATAAACCAAGAAATCAGGGCAGCCTTTGCTGAAGTCCACCAGTGCTCAGCTGGGCCTTCGAGCTCAGAGAAGGCCATGGCTGGGCCCTGAGGTGAGGGACAGAGTAGGGTAGGGGCCAGCAGCAGCCCAGTGACTCTTGTGTTTGGACACCTGCAACTCCTCTCCCCACTTCACACCCCTCGAAAAATTCTCTTGCTGAACTCCCTGGCAGCCACCAGGTGCTCATTAATGAGTGCCCCGGAGTGATATTAATTGATATGTTCCAGTGTGAATCCTATGGGTAAACTTGCCTCTTGACACGAAAACATTAAAAATAGAAATATTCCCTTCAGTTCTCTCAGCGCTTTGTTCTTGACAAATAGTTTTTTACTTTGGGAGCTCGTTATTATAGAACACTATCCCCATCATACAGCCAAGGCGCCCAGGCGCAGAGGGAGGAGGTCATTTGCCCCAGGTGGCACGAGCAGAAGCAAGATGGAGACCAGGAACTGGAGCCAGACAGATCAGGCCTCCAGACTCAGCCAGGCCACCTACTCACATGACATCTTTTCTCAGAGCCTCTGTTTTGTCATCTCTAAAGTGGGCCTTGAGAGGACCCACACAAGGCTTCTTCCTAACACAGGTCTTGGCCTACAACCAATGCTCAAAAAATGCTGCCTCCTTCCCTGCCTCTCCTCTCCAAGCCAGCCTAAGCCTTTGGCCATCTGTGAGCACTGTGCTGGGAGCACAGACCTTGGGCTCCCAGAATCTCTAGGCGGAGGAGGTGTGTGAAAATTCCTTGGTTCTTAGGAAAATGAGACTTCTGTCTTACAGAAAAAAAACCCAAACCCACAACCAACTCATTAAACTGGCTTCTGACATCAAAGAGTGTTCACCAAAACCCCCGGGCAGACCAGGCACATGTGGAATTCATTTCCCTGACAGAGGGTAGAGGGCTGGGGGCCAGGGGCAGGTTAAGCCCTAAACAAACTCGTCCTTCTTCAAAAGACCCCTTGGGAGTTGTTGGGAAAATGTTCTGCCAGGCTGTGTTCACAGAGGCCAGGCCGAGTATGTGTGTGTGTGCGTGTGTGTGTGCGGTGGTGGGGAGATGTGAAAAGGATATGGGCGATGTGTGTTTGGAGCCACGAGCTGCTGTGTGGTAGAAAATGCTGAAATCGGCTTTGGGAGATGCCACTGCCTGTCCTGACCTGTACGACTTTGGGCCTAACCTTTTTATGCCTCAGTTTCCTCAAATGCGAAACGAGGCTAGTCACCTTTACCTCCCCTGTTGTTGTGAGAATTAACCAGACCCCTCTCGTGAGTCTGGCCCCTAGTGAGACTGCAGGAATCTTGAGGAGGGAGGATATGCATGGGCTCGTCTGCGGGACCTGCTCATGGCTGTGGGTGTCTGTGCATGTAGTGCAGCCATGGGGTGGAAAACAGAAGCAGGGTCCTGGTTCCTCCAGTGACCACTGTGCAGTCCCCCTTAGGTCTGTGGATTTTCTTTTGGGGCCTCAGTCTCTTCCTCTGTAAAAGGAGCATCTGGTCTAGGTGACCGTGGGGTCCCTCTGGGTGTCAGGATCCATGAGCAGCATACTGTGGGTAAGTGGAAACTCAGCCTAGTGAGCAGACACAAGGAGACCAGAATTTAAACCAGGACCCAGCTGTCCTACCAGGAGCCAGTCAATGAGCCTCCCTAAGCCCTCAGTTCCTCACTGCACAACAGGATCCGGGCTCCCTTTCCTGCCTGAGTTATTATGGGCTGCTGTTAGGTCCAGAGAGCAACGACCGTGAAACACGCTCTCAGCCGAGGAGTGTGCTGCAGTCAGGACTTAGGGGGCATTTAGGGTGTGTGATAGACCTGCTTTGTGCATGTTACGTGGCTATCAGAGCTCAAAGAGCCCCGAGCGGCAAGTGACAGAGCACCTGTGTGTGTGCGCTTGTGTGCTTGTCCATGAATGTCTGTGTGCGTGTTGTCCTTTCATGTATGTGTGCATTCATGTGTCTATGTGAGCTGTGTGTGTACACATTTGTGTATATGTGGGCCTTGGTGTGTCTGCATGTAGGCCGCTTTAGCTGTGTCCAAGTGTGTCTGTCTGGCACCGAAGTCTGGGGGCAGTGGCAGATCTTATATTGGTATCTGTGCCCGCAATGTGGGTCCACATGTGTGGCATGTCAAAGTGCATGCCTTGTACATGTGTGAGTTGTATGTTGGGTATGTCTTGGTCCTGCCATGGATCTCCTTACTCTGGAGCCCTCCAGAATGATAGTATCGGGGGACAGCCCCGGCCTTCTGCCCACCCTCTGAGGATTTTGGCAGCTCTGTTCTCAGATGTCCCCTGCTCAGAATCCCCATTCCCCAGCCTAGGGCAGAACCCCAGTGGGGGCGGGGCTCCAGGAGGGAACTCTGACTCCAAAGCAGACATATTGCATGTGAATAGACCCATCTGGGTCCTCACCTCTTCTTCACCTTCCCTCATCATTGGGGAGAAGGATACCAAGGAAGGCCAGTGCCCTCCTGGTTTCTGTGTTGTGCTCCTGCCAGAGGTTGGGCTAGTTTCCTCTGTGCCAGGAGGCTCTGGGCTTGTTTATTCCTTATTTCCCTCCTGCCTGCTGGGGGCCAGGCCCCATGCCTGGAGCTTCCACTCATATTAACTCAGCCATAACCACTCTCTGAGACAGGAGTTGTTAGCCCACTTTCTAGATGAGAAAATGGAGACTCAGAGGGGTGAAGTGACTTGTCCATGCCAGCCTCTGTCTATCTCCAAATCTGAGATGGTGCTATAACAGCCCAGAGATGGCAATAGTCCCTGGAAGGCTCCCAAAGAGGAGGGCCTCAGGGGGCACAGGTAAGGACAGGTGAGTCTGAGGAGGCTCTCCGAGCTGGCCTTCCTCTCACGAAGAGCCTGTCTAGCATTTGCATGGGGCTTCCGGGCACATGACCAGGTGGAACCCCAGAGATAGGGGCCCCACATCATGACTTTCATGATGAGTCAGTGCCAGCTGGTCCCTATGAAGTCCCCCTATCTTCCCCTGCCAGCCTAAGATCACCCTCCTGTCCTCTGGGGTTGGTTTCCAGCAATAGGACATCTCTAGGGGATAGGGTTTCACTATGGTAGATGGGGCCATGGGGCTCCAGAAGGTCCTCGCAGGACTAGGTGATCTGGAATTGTTTGATTCATGATCAAACAATTGTTTGATTCATGATCAAACAATAGGCAGGCACAATTTGGGATGGACTCCTTAGAAGTCTAAATACTTTAACCTGGCGTTCAAAGCCCCACACACGTTGCCCTCACCTCATCTGCCCCCTACACACCCAGCTCTCTGACCGCGACAGACTGCTTACCTTTCCCCAGCCCCTCACGAGGCTACGCCTTGCTCTTGCTGTTTTCTTTACCTGGATGACCTTATCCCTTTTTCAACATTGGTGAACTCTTTCAAAGGCCACCTGAGAAGCCACCTCCTCGTGAAACCCTTTCCCAAACTGCCCTGTATGCAATTAGTAGCTGCCATGCTTGACCCTCCCTTGATGGCAGCAATCTTATCTAGTTCATTCCTTTATTCCAATGCCAGGGAAGAGGTATGCACTGGGAGCGTGAATGAGTGAGTGAATGAATAAGCTAATGAATTAGTTAGACCAAAGGCTCCTAATGAACAGTCTCCGCTCCTGAGGTCTCCTGCTTAGTTTCCCCTCTGGGATTGCTTAGTCTGATGCTTAATGGGGATCCTGAACACCAGGTATGTCAGCCTATGGCTCCCCTGGCTGCTCTTTCTCTCCTCACCATCACCCCTCCTACTGCTACGGACACTCTCGCTTCCAACCCCTGCCCCAGCCTGGGTGCTCTTCCCCAGCCCTTCTGCTTCCCACCCCTTCTGGCTAACTACTCTTCACCATTCGTGCCTCTGCTCCTTTGCCGCTTCCTCCAGGGAGACTTCCTTGAAATCCTCCCTTCCATCCTTCTGACTTCTTGGGGAGGGGCACCTCCTCTGGCCCCTCAGCCCTTGGCCACCCTGTCTAGCCCTGTCCTGAAGACTGGGAGCTTCCTGAGCACAGGGCGCGGTCTAAGCCCTATTTCTGTGACTTCGGTAGAAGAAGAAATATAACAGGGCAGGGGAGAAGGAAAAGGCCACTGCGGTGGCGGGTGATCTTAATTTTAAGAAAATTTCCCCGCATGAACATATGAAAATCCAGATTTGCTCAAAGACTGTTAGAGCTGAGTCTATACTCTTACAAGGAGAAGTGAAGTAACGTAGAGCAGGAGGGAAGGGCCGCGTACGGACTGAGCGTGTTGTGTGTACATTGTCTCAGGGAGCTGCCCTTGCAGCCCTCGGAAGTGAATGTTACCATCCCCATTGCTGCTGAGGTTGCCTGGGCTGTAGGACACCAAAGCCCCCATTCTTTCCTGGGGGCCAGCCACTGCTGCCTCTAGTTCCGGCTCAGCCCCTGGGCTCCCCTGCACAACTCACTCCTGCTCCGGGATTTCCATGAGTCCTTGAGGCACTTCAGAAATCCACTAGAGGGCAGGCAAGCTGTTCCAGAGAGAACCAGGAGCCCCTCCCGCAACCTGAGATTCCTAGCCCCTCCCCAGCCTGCAGACTCCCAGGGTTTGAGTGCTCATCAGCCCCAGGAGTAGGAAGGTGCTCCACAAAGGATTCTTGCTTGGGGAATCTCCCTGACAACTGAAGGACAATGAAAAGACAGTAGATCTCAGTGTCCTGTATCCATCCTATAGGCCTGGTCCAAGTCAGCATGTGTCAGGGGGTTGTGCAGTCTCCAGCCATTTGCATTTCCTATTATATAATACATAGGTGACACTCAATCCTATCCAGGGCTTTCCTGGGTGCTGGCTTACACGGTCTAACACATCCTTTCCTGGGAGGCAGGTGTAGTGGTCCCCATGCAGACAGACAAATGAGGTTCTTGCTGGCAGTTCTCTTTCATTGCTGACTTAGATCTTCCTTTTGAGCTCTAGGTCCAGTGTCCAGCTGCCTGCTGGGCACTTCCCCAATGAGCCACAGATCACCCTGACTGTGTGTTGCCTTGTTCTGGCCAGAACCAGGGGTGATCACAATCTTCCCTGTCCTTTCCATGACCCTCTCCCCCACCC